TACACAATGCTTATTATCACAAAACACAGATCAAGTTTGAATTTTGGTGGCGTCACCTTAACCGTTCTAGAGTTATGCCCCTTTATAAATGGAAAAATTGCAAAATTTTTAGTTTCCGTTCTCTAACTTAAGTTTGCCTCAACCAAATGTTATGAAACTTATACACAAGGCTTATTACCACAAAACACAGATCAAGTTTGAATTTTGGTGGCGTCAATTTAACCGTTCTAGAGTTATGCCCCTTTATAAATGGAAAAATTGCAAAATTTTTAGTTTCCGTCCTCTAACTTAAGTTTGCCTCAACCAAATGTTATGAAACTTATACACAAGGCTTATTACCACAAAACACAGATCAAGTTTGAATTTTGGTGGTGTCACTTTAACCGTTCTAGAGTTATGTCCCTTTATAAATGGGAAAATTGCAAAATTTTTAGTTTCCGTCCTCTAACTTAAGTTTGCCTCAACCAAATGTTATGAAACTTATATACAATGCTTATTACCACAAAACACAGATCAAGTTTGAATTTTGGTGGCGTCACTTTAACCGTCCTAGAGTTATGCCCCTTTATAAATAGAAAAATTGCAAAATTTTTAGTTTCTGTTCTCTAACTTAAGTTTGCCTCAATCAAATGTTATGAAACTTATACACAATGCTTATTACCACAAAACACAGATTAAGTTTGAATTTTGGTGGCGTCACTTTAACCATTCTAGAGTTATGCCCCTTTATAAATGGAAAAAATTGCAAAATTTTTATTTTCTTCTAAATATCAAGTTTTTTTTTAAATTGGAGTTATCTTCCTTTGACCATGATTATAGTTGAATCAACTACAATCAATGCTTTATACAATGCAATGTTTAATTTTGACTTCCACTGATAAAACACAGATCAAGTTGAATTTGGGTAGTGTCACTTTAACCATTATTGAGTTATGCCCCTTTATAAAAAGAAAAATTGCTGAATTTTAGTTTCTGTTCTCTACTTAAGTTAGCCTCAACCAAATGTTATGAGACTTACACACAAAACTCAGATCAAGTTCAAATTTGGGTAGCGTCACTTTTACTGTTCTTCAGTTATGTCCCTTTATAACTATATGATATGCAAGCGGGGGCATCATCTGTGTCCACATGTGGACACTATCCACATTTATTTCATTCATAAATTACTTGAAACTTGGAAATATAATTTTGCTTAGAGTTATAGTTTCTAAAAAAGTATTGTCATTGAAAGAGTTGACATGTTGCAATGTACATTTATTCTACATAGTTCTATGGTACCAAATCAAAAGTTTATATAAAAGAAAGAAGTCGAAGGTTTCCCATCACAGTTTAGTTACATACATTTTTTTTGTACCTGAGGTCGTTGAATATAGATCATTATATAAATAAGGAGATGTGTTATGATTGCCAATTAAACAACTATCATCCATACTTACCAGTAACAAACCACATTTGCAGAGTTGAATAAAATACAGTTGATAACATTTACTTATTACTAAAAAGAAAATGCCTAACTATTTTAAACAGTATTTGAATATCAATTATATGGTCATTTTTATAAACTTCCTGTTACAAAACTTTGAATTTTTCGAAAAACTAAGGATTTTCTTATCCAAGGAATAGATTACCTAAGCCGTATTTGGCACAACTTTTTGAAATTTTGGGTCCTCAATGCTCTTCAACTTTGTACTTGTTTGGCTTTATAACTATTTTGATCTGAGCGTCACTGATGAGTCTTATGTAGACGAAACGCGCGTCTGGCGTATTAAATTATAATCCTGGTACCTTTGATGACTAATTTGACTATAAACATAGATAAAAAAGGTACAAACTGGACATAATGCACTAGTTCATAAACAAGTGAGAACAATCGCCTTCATATAGTGCTCAGAATATGACATTCATAAAACTTGTTCAATATCATTAGAAAACTCTAAATCTTAAATACTGAAAGCCACCTCTGATAAGTACACTGTACTATGCAAGATAATGATATAACTGGACTAAAAATACACACAACCTGTAATTAACTGCCTTTACAGCGCTTTCGCGCTTTGATTAAAGATTGTTGTTTGTCTTTACATCGTTTTTGTCATGGTGTTTTCGGTTGGTCTTCGACTAATGTTTAAACCGGGAAATATGAACACCTCCTACGCAGGATTTGACGTTAAACATAATACTATTTGACAGCTTTTCATAACGTACAGTACGTTCACAAGCACCTTTCAAAAAAGTAAATATATATTATACGTATACGTTCATCGAAGAAGAAATACACAAACTTCTATAAACAATGACAAGGAATTGCATGTGTCTAGCTTTTAATTGAAAGGAGACATGCGCATTAATTGCCAAAGATCTGCTGTAAACACCGAACTCCAAAATGCACTCTTACACAAAGAGATATTATAGTGCAAGACAACAAAACCCACTGATGACGTACACGGGTACAATAGGATGTGCATACTTAAACGTTCTCAGTACTCAAACTTCCACCTACTGTAGGATTTGTGAAAACAAATCCCCTAAATCCCACAAATCTATTAAAAACTACTTCTGAATCAATGTTTGAAATACTACATTGGAAAACTTTATTTCTATATAGTAAGTTTCGTAGTACGATTGCCAATGAGACAACTATCCACCAGAAACCACTTACGTTGATGTAAGTACCTATGAAAAATGAACAAAATCCATACCGTATAGTACACAATAAAAGACCCCGACGTGAAAAATGTGAAACAATTCAAACGAGAATACAACGGCCAAATAAATACTAAAATAATGAGCAAAAACAAATATGACAGACAGCTGCCAACAAAAACCCCTAAATTACAGGCTTCTGACTAGGAACAGGTTCATATTATGAATATGCGTTCAACTTTTTTGTTATTGATGACAGTGTCGTACCATCATAATTAAGAACAAATGTAAAATTCAGTCGAAAATGACTTGGCTAATCACATCGGCAAAAGCACGACAAACAACTCACATTAAGACAAAAACACAAAGAGCTGTTCGTAGAGTTTTAACAGTTAACAAAATCTAGTTAAAAGCAATTACAAAATTTAAAAAAAAATCATGTTTCCAAGTATAGAAAATATACCAGTACACGCCTGGATATTTAGTGCAAAGACGTCATAAATGGTCCGAGAAATCCGTGTCCTTGTACAATGTAAAATATAAGTATCGACAGGATGTAGGACCATAAGTGTTCATAGCTTTTAAGAAATAAAATAAAATTGAGAATGGAAATGGGGAATATGTCAAAGAGACAACAGCTCGGCTAAAGAGCAGATAACAGCCGAAGGCCACCAATGGGTCTTCAATGCAGCGAGAAAATCCAGCACCCGGAGGTGGTCCTCAGCTGGCCCCTCAATAAAAATGTGTATTAGTTCAGTGAAAATGGACGTCATACTATGCAATACATATTTAGTAACTAGTATGTTCTAATTTGTTAAGAAGAAAATCAATGTTTGTACCGATGAAGATAATATTCCGATCTTACTACAGTATTGAATTGATAAAATTCAAGAACTGTTATATTCAAAAGAAGGATACGTTTACATGATCATGTCCGAATGTATAGGCTCTATTAAAATCACCGTGAAAAGAAGGATTTGATGTCACGTATGTAGTTAGTTTTTACAGGTACAGCCATATACGCAAACCAAATTTTTGTATATATGAAAGATTTTTGGAATCAATTTAATACCATTAACATTAAACATTAAAAATAGAATAACAAGATGAACATAAAAGGCACATACATAAGTCTCCAATCACAACAGGCCATGAAAGTAGGTTCGGCTACATAATTTAAAAATAGATACACGTAATTGTCATTAAAGAAGTGACGAGGCACACAGACAGATATTTATGAACTTGCATAACAATTTAACACTTGCATGATTATAATGTTCTGCTCCATAGTATTTTCATGTGAATTTGTTCTTGTTAAAATACAGAACGGGGTTGTCTCAAGATAAAGTCGACTACTTAACTCCCACTCACCATTACTTTTATCGGTCAGGTCAAGAGACAGTGTTCTCACAATGAGCACAAAAGGAATATAAATCGAATAAAAAATCACGTGTCCGCATAGAGATTCGTGTCTTTCTGAGATCAGTTATTTGTGTTGTAATACAACATCAATTTATTCAAATGTATCTTATTCTCTGCATTTAATTTATAAGTCACACATGTAGCCTTTATGTAGGTTTTTTTTTATCTTGCACTTACTTTACAAACAATTATAGGCTTCCTGTTAACAAATCTTATAAAATTAATCATAGGAAGTTACAATTGATATAATATTCAAACGATTGCAAAGGCACGACAACAATATTAAAAGTTATGCCAGAGTGAATATAGACTTAAATGAATCTTTCGTCAGCAAGCAACCCATATAAATAGCATTATCAACACTTTTCACTGTTTTTATTAAGTTTAAAGTTTTTTGTTTAATTTGATTACTGACTCGTTGAAATTTACCAAACATGTACCAAACATCAACTTTTATGCATTTTTTCCATGAGTTACACGACGGATGCCACTGGTGAGGCATAATCTTCTTATACTTCCGGAGCACCACAAGTTTTTAGTGGTTTGTTTTGATCAGTCTTTATTTTTCTATGTGGTGTTTTGTGAACTCATTTGTCTTTTGTTCGTCTTTTGTTTTTTGCGATGGCGTTGTCAGTTTCTCTCGAATTATGAGTTTTAAATGTTCCCTTGGTATCGTTAGTCCTTTTTTAAGTCAGTAATATGTGCCGTGTGCATACAAATCGGTATTATAAAGACCAAAAGTTGTGCCAAAACTAAAGCTTCACATGATAATGATGATCTCTGGGGAATTTCCAGTCTGTCACTTTAAGTCCGTGGTTTAAGATTGTCTAGTTTCAATGAATTTGTGTGGAAAACAAAGATATTAGAGAAGACCTAACAAACTGAACAATATTTCCGATTAGTTTCGATATCTTTACATACTGCATTAACATGTGTTAGAGTTTACTCTTTTATTGACTTGTAAAAACTGTGCATTACTTCATTTTGCACTCAACACTAAAAACTATATCAGGTAAGATCATATTAGAATAAAAGCGGAAAGCGAATATTTCTCCATGTACACTACTAACGTATATTGATAAGGAAATTAAAAAAGCATTTCATAAATAATTCTATATACTGCTGTAAGTAAATAGTTGTCACGAAAACTATAATAAAACAACAAATAATTATCATCTAGTGGCAACAATTGATAAAACAAACGATAAGATAAAACATCAAACAAAATGGCAATATGTTACAATAAATATGTAACACTCGCAAACATGTCCATCACCACAAACATGTCCGATTCCCCCAAACGTTTCTATTTCGCCTAAACGTGTCCTTTAAGTCATGAATCGCCCAAACGTGTCCGACTTCACATTCCCCAAACGTGTCCGATATTTGTTATTTGACAAAACGTGTCCAGTTTAAAACGCCAGTTCCACCCAAAACTTTTAACGCTAATATTACTCCGTGAAGTCAAAAACGTTTACGGCAATAGACTAGTCAATGATGTGGGATACGATAGAAGACGTCGGATTTCGGTTGAATTCTAAAAACAATCGAAACAGCTACCCAAGGTCATCTGGAGAAAAGGTGTAGTAATCCGTATAGACCAATGTCCAAGATATGGTACACTGTGCACAGTGACTTCTGCTTTGAAATAAACAAGACACCAGGTTAAAAAAGAATGGCACAACAAAAAGTCATTTTTACGTGCAGCGGTTTTATTAATTTTTCATCAATAAAATTATCATTGTTTTAAAGTTCAGATTGAGGTACTTCGCAATTAAGAAATCTAATACATTTTATCTTCCAAGTGCTTATTTATAAGCATTAGTTTGTTCAACGCCGGTTATCTAAATTAAGCATAATTGCAAGCTAAATTTGCAACACATAATTAACCATTGACTGTTGATTGTTTAATGTCCAGTGGCAAATATATCATGCATATTTAGAACAAACATACAAATTGCAATTGAGTATTTTTGTATAGTTTAAATCATCGTTTACTAAATGAATTCTTTTGTACTAATATTCTCCGGTGATGCCTACATATCTTTATAATGTATGAGGGTATTGTACAATAGGCTTCCTGCAGATGTGGTTTCTGTGCTTTTAAAAAGGAGACCTTACGGTTTTGTATGAACTGGACATGTTTGGGCGTTTTTTTTTTTAAAATGGACACAATTGGGCATTCATAAACAGAACACGTTTTTGCACCCTTTAGCAACTAGACATGTTTTGCAGTTCATTGACGTCACATGGACACGTATGGGGGAATCGGGCACGTTTGGGGGGATGGACACATTTCTGAGTGATACAAATATGCCATACAAATAACAAACATGCAAGCGACAAGCAGATCAAAAAATAAAAAAGCCTCTATAAAACTTACTATATTGTGTGCTCTAGTGCCCTAACCTGGGACAGTGGAGTAACAGTACAACATAAGAACAAACTATAAAAATAAGTTGAAAAAGGCTTAACTCATCAGATGGATACACACAGAAATACATATAACAAAAACACAGAGTGGACGTGGCCGGGTACTTATACATCCCTACAACAAAAAGACACTAAGTACAGATCTGAGAATATTCGCAGTTACTGACAGCTAGTTTCAATAATTAAAGTCTTGTTTTCAAATTCTTTAAAAATTGAAACTGAGGTTTTGGGTATTTAATGTACTGTAAAAATATATGTATGCAGTGATTTCGTTTAGGCTATGATTCTGATAAATAAGTATTGTTTTGATTAAAAGAGTTTTTACATTTTTTTCTATTTGAATAAATGTTGGTATAGGTTGCACTTTGTACTAGATAGATAGATATTGTATTCTCTAAAACCAATTAACAAAGGCCATAGAAGAAAACACAATAATTCAACATACAATGTTAATGATTGTAGAAACAGCTGATTAACACACTACTCCTCTTTTTGGGGAGATTTTTTAATATTCATAGATATTTTATTCTGTTTACCTACTTGTATCCCGATATGATCTCCATGCTTCATCTCATAAAAACATAACTTTGGAATTTTACCAGTATCAGAAATTTTGGATAGCAAACAAATTGAATTCTTAGGAAGACTCGAAGTAAAGGGTAGTACAGTATTTTAGTATAAGTTTAAACTTTTAAAAGTTCAAGGCCAATAAATATTGAAAATATGCTGCACAATCCTATGTATTGACCTTTGCCAAAATAGTAGTGCTTATGAACTTTCCATTCCAGGATATGAATTTTTACGAAACTTCACAGTAAATTGGCACAGTTTAAGCCGCAAAAGGAGTTCCTATGGGAAATTGCATTGTCTATATTTACAGAACTGCAACCTTTAGTATTTCCAATCAATAGTAAAACAGCATTTGCGTCCATTAGTTTAAAAAAACGTTACTATTATTCATTAATTTTGTAAGCAAGCGATATTTCGAAATACAAGACATTTTTTCTTAAAACAGTATGCGTAAGTTCGTGCTACAAATTTAAAATGATGTGTCAAACATAAACTAATGTAGGTATAAATAAAACCTTCGAGTCAAAAGTAATTGGTATGAATAAAACTGTCATGTGTGACTTGTTAGTTCCATTTTCCTATTCAGTATGAAACTATGGTCCTTTGGTGGTGATTGTATACTCTCACAAACAATTATAAATGTTGGCCTGAAAATGAAAAGAATATTAAATGTGTGTGCATAAATCATATTTATTTTCTTGATGTACATGAACTAAATAGAAGTTCAAATGAAGAGTAAATAATTGCACAATAATATCAACATATTCATTGCTATAGAATATGTATGATTATGAGTAAACTATAATCAAATGAAGTTAATAAATATTACGGTTTTACCTTTTTGTATTCACTAGGCTAAAATATGTATTAACAAAAATACCGAACTCGTAGGTAAATTCATAAAAGGAGGAAGTCCACAAAAACTGACAAAACCAAAAGCTCAATTATATCAACCAACAGAACGACTGGAAACAACAGTCATATTTTTGACTTTTATCAAGAATCTTTCAACGCGCTTTTTTATTTTCAGTTTTGAATTCTGTCGCGGCTCAGGTTTTGTCATTAATTGCGTAACCTGGAACATACAAAAAGGCGAGAATAGACACATAATCTGTATTACAATCTAGTTGCTTTTTATCATGAATTTGCATTTTCTTTTGGCTTATACAATACCTTATTTTATTGTTTTTCATTTGTCTTCCTTTCCATATCTTTAATGTAATAACACCAACAACTAAGGCTGCAATACCGATAAATGTACAAACCATAACCTTTAACAACATACTAAGCTCTGAAATATTGAAATAATGGCCGTAAATTTAGGCAACAGTAGTTTTCCTATGTTTAAAACACATGAATCAATTAAGAATACATATAAAGGTAACAAATGAACATATCGCGATATTTGATTAAGAGATGTTTATAATATACGTTATGCCGAATACTAATTAATTTAAAATGCTTTATAAAATTACAAAAAGTGTAGTAAACAAATCTTCTTTTTAATAAAAAAAACCCCACTCATAACGGAATTTGATATTTCGCGTAGCTTTCATTTTTTCATGAACGAGAAAATTAGGACTAGTTTGTAGGCAATTCAATTATAACATACCAATGGTAGATGTGGTATGAGTGCCAATGAGACAACTCTCCATCCAAGTCAGAATTTATAAAAGTAAACCATTATAGGTCACAGTACGGTCTTCAACACGGAGCCTTGGCTCACACCGAACAGTAAGCTATAAAGGGCCCCAACAATTACTAGTGTAAAACCATTCAAACGGGAAAACCAACGGTCTAATCTATATAAAAAACGTATGCACTGTTCAAGCAGGCTCTGTTACTACACAAGAACGGTCTTACAAAAACGGAGACAATGGTATCCCGACACAGAACATCTATGTTATAATAGAAAAGAAAGGATAGGTGATATCTATCCATGACACTTGAATCAGTATATGCAAAGCAAACAACACAAAAAGCAAAGGAACAACGCTTCAAGCGGAGTTCTTTGCAAACTGACGAGCACGCCACGACTGTGAATTGAAGAACAAAACCATGGAGTTGTTTCAATAAAATAAATCTGGCAAAGAAATCAAACATGTACTGTTATATTTTAGCTCGATAATTACACTGAAGCGTGCAAAACGTTATACTAACATTTTGAGCACCACGGGACACATCGCAATATATGTTAGATAACTTGGCATGAAATTGAAAACCACGGAACACATCGCAATATATGTTAGATAACTTGGCATGAAATTGAAAACCACGGGACACATCGCAATATATGTTAGATAACTTGGCAGGAAATTAAAAACCACGGGAAATATCGCTATATATGTTAGATAACTTGGCAGGAAATTGAAAACCACGGGACACATCGCAATATATGTTAGATAACTTGGCAGGAAATTGAAAACCACGGGACACATCGCAATATATGTTAGATAACTTGGCATGAAATATAACGTATGTATAGGACAAATAATTCGGGTAGACTATGTAAGATGTAACACCACCAATACCGGAAAGTAGTACATATTATCAAAATAGTTCCAACGCATAGGTGTAAATATCAAACAATGTGGAATATATTTTTGTAATTTAGGTGTCGAATGAAAGGTAAAGGACTGGTTATCCTTGTAGAAAACAATTTTACTGATAATTTTAAAAAAAAGACGAAAAATAATCTGGAAAGCAGGGTCAAAATGTGCTCGCTTCTTCAGGAAACAAACTATGGTTACTACATCCCTTGATTAGAAACTGCCGCACTGAAATTTCAATGTCCGATATTGAATCTCTAATTTCGAATATATAATTTCGAATCTCTAATGATTCTTTAAAGCTAACGTTTAGAATAAAATGATTTATTATTGCCACGTCACGTTCGCTAACTACTATGACATCTGCCATAATCAACAAAAAAATGTCATATTTTTCTTGCGGGGACATACTGTTTTTCGAAAGACGCGTTTAGACCAATACTTAATTTCTACCTGAACAAGATTTTCCGTCTGGAGCCAATTCATAGATCCACTTACAACTGCAAGTGAAGGAGCCATTTGTATTTTTGCAACTCTGTTCACATCTGGACACGTTTGTAATGCATTCATCAATATCTGAAAGAGAATATATACATGTATGCTGAACGTATTACATTTCAAAATGTACACAGGATCTGGTAAATATACACAAGAAAATATAAATCATCAATCGGATTAAACAATATGCTGATGCTATATTTGAATGCCATCTACATAGTCATGAAAAGATCGATCTTTTAGAACGGGGTCAGGTGAGGTGTATTGTAGTGAACCACTGATCAATGTCATGATTAAGATAAAACCTCATACACGAAATCTGACAATCGGGATAGTTACAACAAACCATTACTGTATTTCAAACTCCGGAGGATATTTCATTCATGACATACTACGGATTATTACAAAAAAAATAATGTAGATGAGTTATAGGGCTTGGTGTAGTAAAATATTAAAAGGAATAGTACATTAGTGGTTCTGAACAAAATCTTTATAAAATAAACTTATTAGTCTTAACAAACTTGAATGATCTTAATGAGAAACTGCAGGCTTTTATTGATGCTTATATGCATTTCACTGAGCAAATGAAAAGAGAGGCGAAAGATACCAAAGGGACATTCAATCTCATAAGTCGAAAATAAACTGACGACGTCATGACTAAAAAAGAAAAAGACCAACAGACAAACAGACAAACAGACAAACAATAGTACACAAAACACAACATAGAAAACTAAAGACTGAGCAACACGAACCCCACCAAAAACTTGGGGTGATCTCGGGTGCTCCGGAAGGGTAAGCAGATTCTGCTCCATATGTGGCACCCGTCGTGTTGCATGCTCATGTTAGTACAAACCCGGTAATAAGTCTAGTTGGGTAGGTCACATTGGGGAAAAGGGGACTAGATTGTAGTAACGACATTAGGAACATATCTGCTATCATTTGTGAAACGGATATTCCATAACGGTTAACCAACTCTATCAAGGAAATCATAATAGGAAATACAAGCCCTGTATTATCGTATCGACTGGGAGATGTATACTCCGTATGCAGGAGCTGCTGGAATGTTTCTACAAAGAAATGGAAAGTTCACAATTGGGAAGCTGAAATCATCTCTTTTGTCGTAAAGTTTTGTTTTCAACCTACCTTCATTTTCAATTTCGAGATGTAAGTCAAGATACGAGGCAGACTTAACTGTATCTATTGTATCCTTATCTCAAGTTCGATGGTTAAAAAGTAGGATTTGTGATCCCTAAGACAAGATACTTGTATCTACGTTTGTCATTCTTTTTTATGAAACAAAGGAGTACCAACTCTTTCAATTGTCTTTAAGTTTGAAATGGGGGATACTTGTGTAAAGTGTAGAAAAGTCAAATGTTTTAATACTATTGCAAGATGAAAGGAACTTAGATTGTATATATGTACTCTCAAAGATCTTTGGAATGTTTTAGTATTCAATATTGAGATATTAAATTGAATGTATTCGGGGTCCTGAAAATCAGTATCAATTTTCGTTGTTAACGATTTTTCTGAATTATGCATTCATTCATTGTATTCTGAAATCAATTGTTAAAAACTAACAAGAAAACAATAATTAAAAAGATTTTCTCGACAAACAAGTAAAATTGCTACGACGCTTCAACGGAACCAAATTAAAAAATGTTTTAAAAGGATATTTAAATGAGAATTCATTTAAAGTATATGAAAAGATTATGCCCCTTTCTTAAATATTTTAAAGAAATTTAGTAATAACAGTCCAGGTCAAAAATATGAATCTGATAGCTATAGTTATAGAAAGATTGGAACCACATCAGGATTTGTAAAACAAACAAAAATGATGACGGACGATAGACAATGATGGAAATAGTTTTTTTATTATGAATTTTTTTTTATTTGCCCCGGAAGTCAAAAAAAATTCATGCATGAGATTTTAAGTCTTATGAGGAATAAAATAGGGAAAAGATATACAACGCTTTAATAGAAAACCATCAATTAATTAATTAAAGAACGTAATAATTCTAGATGGATAAAGATAAAATCAATCTTTAATTCCTGCCATACATAATATATTTACTAGCCTTAGACGAAACACGTTTCTTTGCAAAGTAACCAAACAGTTTGGTTTGACTAGTGTTCGTTAGTGCATTCAATTTACTGCAGTCATATCAACGATGAATTAAAATATATCACATCATCAATAAAACTAAAAAACCATATTGAAGGAAAACTAAAATTAATTTCTAGAAATGTCCGAACGACCCTGTTAGCTTTAGTAAATGATCGTCTGTGTACAGACACATAATGGCCATTGATAAGTTTAAAAGCCACATTTATTTTGCATTTTTATAGAAAAACTAGTTACCATAGCAGTCTGTGTAATATACAGAGCCAGTCGTCAGCGTTGTATAGCCGTCTTTACAATTCTCACATTGTAGTTGGTTCCATTTATACTGGAATGCACCCTTTGGACATTTGAGGCATAAACCGGACTCGTAAAATGTACCCAATGGACACTCTTAAATAGAAAGAAAATCGGTTTATGTTGTTAGTGTTTGAAACAAGGTCTAAAATTCAATAATAAACAAGAACTTTGCACTTTCATAGCTTTTTGAACTTAAGAGAGAATATTAAAATACGATCTTATGAAAATTTCTTACCATATTAATTCAAAATTTTTTGAATCGGTTTCTTGTCAACATTAATATCTTCCGACTTTGTTTGTTTGATTATGATATTACTGCATTAGGCAGCGGAAGGGTTTCATTACATTAGAAATCAATTCAACACTCTCTTTATGACAACATTTATTTAAATGAATTAATACAATATAAATTGAGTGAGTTCAACGAGTTTGTACGAATTAGCCTTCATCAAGAATGCTCAACCCCAAAAAGTTAAGGGCCAAGGATGTATGAATGCTCAAATACTTGACGAACTATCTGGTCGAAAGGGTCATTCAAAGAATAACAAAATTCATCAAATATCTAAGGACAACAATGCTTGAGGGAGTTAGAACTTTAGTTTCTGAATAATTTCGAAATGTTTATCAACGATGAACTCTCTAAAAGTATTTCATAAATCATGTTAGTACCTAGGCACTGAATTCTGAGCTGATGAATACGCGACTAACAGCAAATAAGCAGTTGTATAGACACAGTGTTTGTAAATGAAATTATTACTTTATAAATTTGATGAGTCCGAAGTATTTCTGGATTTACAGATTGATAAAACTTTGGAAGAACATAACTACAACATAATTAATATGCTTTTAGAATAAAGTAAGCATTTAATGTTTATTCATATAGCCGACGATTAGTATTGGAGGACGTTGAACGCAAAACTTAATTACAAATTGATGATTATTTGGGAATACTGAAATAGTGCAATATATTACATCAAATATAACTGACCTATGACATTAACATATGCCTCATCTGAAGTTGTATTCAAGACCACGTTTTCAGCTATGCACCTGTATAGTCCACTCAGCACTGTAGTTGCTTCATCATATCTAAGCTCAGGATTTGTTTCATTTTTGAGACGTTTATCGTTAAAGAACCAGGAAATTGCTGGATCTGGATCTCCGGTAGCATTACATACAAGGCTAAGATAGTCTCCGACCAACACAGTTGTATTAGGTAAAGGGGAAGAAAATGTTGGTGGTGTAGAACAAAACATATTTGCCTCCATTAAGTCATTTAAGCTATCATTGATCTCAAGGCTTAATTTATACATATCTTGAATCAAAAGCGATTCATTTAAAATAAGCATCAAGATATTGTCTTCAATTGTGACCGTTAAATTTCTATTCAACTCTGTATTTTCTATCGAATCGTCAGAAAAAAGATCGTAAAAGACCGAGAAAGCATGTTGAAGACAGTCTTGAAAGTTAGAACAGTCATTTTCATCGAAGAAATCAAAGGTAAAATTTTCCATTCCCAACATCCAAAGATTAATCAGTGGAAGGGAATTAGCTTCGTCGATTCCAGAGTCTACCATCCTATATGCTAACTCAGTCACGTTTCCGATTTCGGACATTACAGGGTCCTCTTTCAAGTTTATTTTAACATCTTCCATCACAGCATTTAGTTCATTAATTGTTAAATTATAATCGTTATATGCGACCTCTTCACTTATGCCTGCAGATTCTAATGTCATGCTGTTAACAGTTGAATACATAGTAATGTTTTGAATTTCATTTCGATAATGAGTACTTTCATTCAACGCACGGACGGTTTCATCTGATATATTGAGAAAATAATAGAAAGAAGTTGTTAAAAAAGAATGAACATTGTTGAACAACTTACAATTATGCTCGAAGTACCTTATTCGATCATAGTATTCAATTGTGTATTCGATATCTGATGTCCAATTTCCATCATGGAAAATTGTGTCATTCAAATACATAGTTTCATTATTTGAGTTATCAAATGTATCTCTTTTAAATAATCTTAAAATGTGGTGAATTTTTGAGACTGCCTTGAAAGAAACGTCTCTTCTTTTTCGTTTACCAAAAACACTTGTAACTGATTTAAAAAGTGTTTTCACAGTTGATTTCGCTATACGCCAAATACTTGTCACGGGATGTCTGAAATCAAACCAAAATCGAAAGGTCGTCCAACCTAATCCGAACGCTTTTACTTCACAACTTACCTCGAACAGTGCTTTATCATGTGTAGACATTTCTATTTCAAAGCCACAATTTTTAACATCAATTAGTTGTTGGATTCCAAGAACGATTAGATCAAATACATATAACCCAGCCTTAACAGTAAATTTTACTGCTTCAATAGCACCTTTGGCAACTTCCAAACCACCTTTAGCAGCCTCCAGACCGAATTTTGCAACTTCTAATATGCCTTCTGCTACATAAAGGACTACTCTAGCATTATCTACCACATTTTGTGCGATTGTTAGAGCAGCTTTTACAGTCTCAAAAATTATCATTGGAACCCTAACCAGAATCTTAGCGGCTTCTAAAGCAATGTACGCGAGAGCTCTTACACCTCGGCAGAAAAGATTTGCTGCTTCACATAACAAATTTGGAACTTTAAACATGCAACTGGTATACTTAAAACAGGGATATCTTATCCATCCGCCACAAGTTCTGAGTCGGAATCCTGGAATGCATAAATAGGAGCAGTGTCTAATTTTACACAGGTTATTAACTTTTCTCTGGGCATTTCGTAAAGTTTCTAATGCTCTCTCAAAAGGAATTTTGGCATCATCTACCTTTCGTTTTACTGTTTCTAGCTTACTTATTGCATTATCAAATGACGAATGACAATCTCTGACCTTATTTTGAGCATTGCTCAGCTTCTGTTGGGCACGCGTTAGTGCTTTTTGAGCAGAAGATAAGCCATTTTGAACTGCAGTCAATCTTTTATTAGCTTCATTGGCTAATTTTGTAGCAAATAACCGAAGACCAGTGAGATAACTAACTTGAAAATCAGAATTTGCAGCTGTAGTAGAGCCTAGTTTGTGTGATGTTGCTAATAATATGCCTTTCAAAGCAAACGTTAACTCATACCATTTGCGCCCGAGTTCTACAGACAGTGTTACTCTTGCCAGGAAAATATTCCAAATGTTACCTTCTATAACAACGTAAAGTCCATTGCTACTGATAAAAAGATCACCAGAGGCCTTCATTCCAAGTACTGAAACATCAATGTGAGCATGTGCAACAAACTTGCCATTGCCGATTGCTATGCTCAGAGCAACAGTTTCCAGGGACAAAAAATATCCAAGTTTAATCGGATGACTGCCTCTAGCAAGTACTCTAATAGCTGGTTCTCCGTGTAAAAGTTCATACACTTTTCTAAATTTGTTGCACTCTCCTAAGCGTTGGGTTGAATGAACAAGCTCAACTCCCATTGATGAGAAGTCCAAGGAAAATATTCTTACAAAAGCAGTAAAACGAAAACCAGCACCTGTGTAAGATTTTACTAACGAAAAGACCTTTGAAGTAATTCGAGATATAGTTAAATTAATGTTACGGCCAATTCTTGCAATTTCAGATTCAAGTAAATTAGTCAAGTTTGCAACAAATTTGCCTGCATGAAACTCCAATTCGTCGAGTAATTTTCTGGTTGTTTTCTTAATTGTTATAAACTTGTCCCATAATAGTTTCATACTTGTTGAAATATTCTGTAGCGAAGATTGGCTATTCAATATATCAGTAAGACTCGAACTTAACTCTGATACTGAAAATGAAAGCTTACTCAATTGTTGTTGTAAGTCACCGGAAAGAGCATCGATAGATTCATTGCGAAAATCATCAACCAAATTTAGAAATCGTTCCACAATGTCTTTAGTTTGTAATATGTTATTAACAACATCTATTTCTGTTTGAAGGGATAGTTTTTCCTCTGTAGTAACAAATGCATGAATTTTAACTGCTGCTGCAAACATCCAATTTTCAAGTAATGGAATACTCTTGAAAGGATTATAATCCACCAAGAAAGATGCAAATATGCCCGGCGGGTTAGCTGCATTACCACACCAAATTCTATTGTCCTCACCTATTCATGTCATAATATTATTAAAAAATATACTATTAAATTATTATCACAACAGATCAAAGAATAAATTACAAATTGAACTGCGAGGTCAACACTTAATTTAAAATTTAAAAACAATGACGCTAATAAGGAAACCGAAACATATCATGAGTACAATATATATATATATATGTTGACCGTATGAATAAGTATTTAATAATCAAAATTCCATTAAAAGAGAATTAATAAAGAAAGAAAGAAAGAAAGAAAGAAAGAAAGAAAGAAAGAAAGAAAGAAAGAAAGAAAGAAAAAGGAGTTTTGAAACTAGTTATACTTATCTGCGAGGTCATAGGGTTGATTTCTGTGAATGTAAATATTATAATACATTTTCATCGTTCACGATGTAAAAAAAGATAAAAATTAAAAATAAAACACGCCCTACCTCCAACTGAGGTGTAGACTTCCAAACTAGCGATAGTCTTTATAACAAAGGTTATGTTTAGTCTCCAAAAATCTAACCGTACTGTTGGGTTGATACTGAAATGTTTGAATTGCAACAGCCCATTCCATTGTTCCATAAATATATCTATAAGTAACTGAAAGAGAGATGTAAAATAATTGGGGCATACATTGACTATATATTTTGTGTATCCCGAATTAGTCATGAAAATACGTTTATGCCTTTATTTCATTAACTATTAGACAATTGATGTTGTATTCTTTTTCATTCATAATGAAAATCCAGAGATACAACATGGAACTAAAACCTTTTTACTATTACTTTCGACAAGATTTGTAATATATTTGTACTTTTCCTAAAGGAGTAGGTCCAGTAAGACCCCTTTTTGGCCCCAAAATATAGCAGTTTTACAAAATAGTTAAATGTAAACTTTTAGTTATTTATTGGAAAGTAGAATGCTTCTGCTACATAAATATGAACTTTTTTTGACAGTACAATGCACATATATCGGGTACTAGCTTCACTAAGTCATGCTAAATTACTGAAATCTTCACAATTTTAGCATTTTAGTTAAATTTTAGACGGTTTCCGTCTTAAATGAAAGTGGCCGCATTTGTGTTCATTCTTAATATTGAAATGTAAGTTGTATTTGATGATAATACATAACATATATAAAGGTTGAGGATGAACACGGATGCGGCCACTTTCATTTTTGACAAAAACCATCTGAAAAGTGACATTTTTTGGCATATTTGGTAGATTTTTCATATTTAAGCTTGAATCGGGGCGTTTTTATGACTAAATCAGTTAAAATCTTTCACATTAACTAATTGAATCAACTGGTATAGACACTTAAGTGTTTGAAAAGTGTCCAAAATCTTTCGTCAGATGAACCTGAAATTTGAGGCCAAAATCGGCCCTTACCGGACCTACTCCTTTTCCTTTGATAAACTAAGAAATTAGTAAGAAACAAAGATTCAAACTCCCTACGCCAAAGTTGAACTTATGTGGATTTGGCTATTATTATCTATTACTCTTAGTCATGTAGCTCTTAATGTATTCAAGTACTTGTTTATTCTTAGCTGTCAAAATTGTGGATTCGAGTGGTCCTAATGAAGTTACATCGCGAATAGTGCTTTTGAACACAAAAAATTTATAAAGTTTAATTTCTATTTTCCAGGCTTATATCAAAAATTATATAGCCTTATTTAACGTTTGAATTTGTCCCACAAAAGTGTTGAAAGGAGTTTTGCAAAAATAGAATTATTGTATCCAGCACAACATGATTTTAATACAACAGTAAATATTTTCATGTACATCATACATTTCCTATCCTAGATTCTTGAACCGATTTATATTTTGTTTGGTGTTTTGAAACCATTTGGTGGTTCTCCAAAACGTAAGAAATGGTTTTCTATTAATCATATAATTTTTGTTTTCTATGTAAGCATTGGATATTATTCTGTATTCTAAATTGAGTGATTGTTATATAATATATACACTCACACTGGACACACTTGGAACTGCTAAAAATATATCTGCTTCTCCTTTTAAATCTATATTTAGGGAGTCACTTCTTGATGCGTATTCTATACCAGCGTAAAGCCAGACATTAGCTGATTCAAACACTCTATAATATATAGCTATCAGATAAAACAAACAACATTTAATTATGCATATAAAGATTCATCACAAATACCAATATTAAAATTTGGTGTGCCACATCCGGGGTTTACCCATCAGTGGCGCCCAATGTTAGAAAGTCCGAATCAAATACAAAGAAAGGGATCATTGAAGACTAAAAAATACCAGTTATTTCTTATAAATGTACGTTTTGTCATAATATAGTTCACACATGACGAATTGTCTAGATTCTATGTGGGTTTTTTTTTGCATGGGGTCGTCAGTTCATATCGACTTTTGAGTTTTGAATGTTAAGGTAATAGTAAAAGTTCAACGATATTATACAATAATAGACTTTTTATTAGGTCAATGGGAGGTTATGTCAACCTAAGAGAAGCATACTGTTTGAGGACGAAGTCCGAGGTCGATATAACATCGTATTGACCTCAACCATACACTTGTTATTATTAATCAACAACTATTACATAAACAATGTAAAATTGGGGATTTCTTGAATGTGTTTTTAGTAACATGCGGTATGCCCTGTGCAATATGCTGTTTTTGACTTACGAAAAGTTAAACATAACAGTATTGGCGTGCAAACTGAGTAAATACAAATGTACATGTGATAAAATCTTAACGAATCACAAATCCTTAAAAATATTTGATTAATAATATATATTAATAACAGTTACCTAATTGCATCGAGAACGGACCTAATAAATGACAGTTACATGTTTTAATTATCAAATTCCGGAGCACCTGAGATCACCCCCAGTTTTTGGTGGGGTTCTTTAGTTTTCTATGTTGTGTTTTGTGTACTGTTTGTCATTTTCTTTAGCCATGGCGTTGTCAGTTTATTTTCGACTTATGAGTTTGAATGTCCTTTTGGTATCTTTTGCCTCTCTTTTATTAAACAGTTTTACAAAAAAAAAACACCATGGGGCAATTTTTTATTTTTAAACTCCAAATTTTTTTAAATAATCATTGTTTATTTTATAAATGAATTAATTAAAACCGTTTACAGAACTCATTTACAAATGACCAATGAATGTTCTCCACACAAACTTTTTGTTATATATATATAACACTCAAAAACGTATCCATCCCCCAAACGTGTTCGATTCTCCAAAAGGTGTCCATATGACGTAACTAAACTGCAAAACATGCCTAGTTGCTAAAGGGCGCCAAAACGTGTCCTTTTTATGAACGCCCAATGGTGTTCATTGTTTTAAGAACGCCCAAACGTGTCTTTATGAACGCTTAATCTTGTCAAGATTTTTTAATGTCACAAAGTGTCCACCAATATTAAATACATTAAGTAATTCGTAATCACATATGTTGTAACTTGTTTAATAATGATAATTCTTTATTGTCATATAAGTACACCATTATACTTGTGACAAATACAAATAATACCAACAACAAAAAATAAACTGATTTGAACACATATGTATATATATATGTTAATATTAATGCCTAAAATGAAAATGAGATTAAATAAAAAGAAATTCAAAGTTAAAATACATTATGTACATAATACAATAATAAGAACTGACGTTTGAATGTCAATTACATGAAATAAAATCATTAGTAAAATATTGATGTTAAAACTCATTGAATAAAACTCTTAAAATATATGTAAACTTGTTGGATAGTTGTCTCATTTGCAATCGTACTACATCTCCTTATTTTTATATTGATAGATAATTGTATTGCAATTCATTTGTTACCAATTGGTGGGGAGCTATGGCACAGGCTATTTTCGTTGTAATTTTTTCTAGGAATTTTTCTGGTGATCTTCCAATATCGTTGTGTAGAGCAGAATTCTTTTGTATATGAACAAATTTGATTCCAATTGACCACTGTTTATTCGTTGTTCCTCATCCACGCAGTATGCAGCATGTGATGAATATTTTCGTTTGACAACTCAATACTACCCTGTGATTGGAGATGTTTTGGCTTCCGGTGAACAATAACTAGTTCTAGCCACATTAGCATTAATTCAGATATAACCAAGGCTCCGTGTTGAAGACCGTACTTTGACCTATAATGGTTTACTTTTATAAATTTTGACTTGGATGGAGGGTTGTCGCATTGGCACTCATACCCCCATCTTCTAATATCTATTAGCTGTAAATTCACGACCTTTGTCCGTTTGCTGTTTATGTGACACACCAAATATTGTGAAAACATAAACTAAATTAGAAACCACCTTTAAAGCACTTTTTGACGTAAGAGCTCTAGTTATGTATTTTTAAGGTGATCTTGGTACACCATAATGAAAATATATTTTTATCTTACTTTGATCGTAAATCGATTAAATCAACCTGTCATCTTCTGTAAAACTCTTTGGATAAAACGGATTTTAATACTACTCCCTTCTCTATGCACATTTTATCATGTTACAATTTTTACAAAATCGAAGAAACAGTACAATTGAATCATGGAAAATGCTTGCAAAGCCATTATTAGGTTGTTTAATTCTACGTTCTATAATAATGATATGCCGCTTTGACATTTCTTAATGTGTATTTTTCCCAAAATATCATACAGTTCCTCTAGAAAAACATCAACTTAGAGATTTCCCTCAATATTCTCTATTACCTTAGTTACCAGTCTTTCAAACCTCCAATGGTAAAAAATTGTTAAACCATTTTGAATTGTAATAGTCTTTAGTTGCCTTATTTTCTGATTTTGAAAGTTTAATCTTTGCCAAATGATCATTGTACTTTTGCCTTGGGTATATGATCTTTTTTGTTCCTGATATTCCGCAAAGAATAAAGAAATTTGTTGTTACTTAAATGTTAATAATCCAGATTAAGAAGTGAAAAGACAAGATGGGTATTTAAGAAAATTAACATATCCAATAAAACAGATGAAAAGATGATGTGACTGGCAGATTTTTTTATTTTTGACCAACTCAAAGCGGCTTGACCATTGAAGAGCAATAACACAAAGAAATATGAGTAAGTTCTGTTTTGAATACGAAAAAATACTAAAAATTAAAGATCTTTTAAATCAGTTTATTATATACCTAGTAGTAAATACAGGTAAATTGTATGTGTAATACAATTGTTGACAATCGTACTGTATCAGCCATCCGTGATGATATCGATATCAGTCACGGTTGCAAAGGCTTTATCAAACCCCTAATCTGTATGATGCACTTAATCGATATCAATCACGGTTACAAAAGCTTTATCAACCCCTAATATGTATTACGTCATGTCTCGTGAAAAATACACAAGAGAGATTAGTTGTACTTGAGGTACATGTATATAATAAAGTGTATATGATATGGCTTTTTCAATATCACATACCATACCGTATCAACCCTCAACCAATATAATCCCTCGAGGAGAGCTCTCTTGGGATTATACTGGTGTCTCGGGTTGATACGGATGTGATATTAAAATAGCCATATAATATTCTCTATTTATATTAGTTTTTGAAGTATGATTTTTAGAATATTATTAATGAAGAATATTTCACCAAATTGACATGTATTTTGACGATAAACAAAAACCCCAAAATAATCTTATAGCCTGAAATGATGTTTTGCAATAGGTTGAATAATCAACATCAGATTTCAGGAAATAAGCTTAATGCCTGGAAATTTCAGGCAATAACTTAATACCTAATCGTTAGCTTATTGTCTAGGATTTAAGCTTAATGCCTAATTTCACTTATTGCCGCTAACATATATATATACATACAAGGAAAAATAACTAAGAGTTCCCCTGTCCTCAGCTCTAAAGACTGTTTTATAAAGGAACCTGCTTTGTTCACTTGGTTTATATTTGAAGGATGTTTTATAATAAGAAAAAGAGTATTTTCAGCATTGCCTTTTGATATTTTTGCAATGTTACCAAACAAAAAAACTTCTTTTTTAAAAAGTACACTAATCCCATTGGTCAGAAACCAATTTTCAATCTGTTCTAATAATATCTGTGTATGTTCACAATCCCAAAATAAATGTTCTAATGTTTCAATTTCTCTATTACAAAATGTACAATTTGGATTATCATAAATCTTAATTTTTTGAAGAAATTTGTTTGTAGCTAAGATTCGATGATTGAATCTATACTGCAGCCACTGTAACTTAGTATTTTTTTGTGAAAACAAATGGCAGTTTATAAAATTTTTTCCAAAACTTTCCGTCCATCTTAACTGACTAGTGGGAACACTTTTATTTTTATTTAAAACAATATACATATCTTTAGATCCTTTTGAACTTTTAACAAGTCTTTTAATAGCCGATGGAATTAAAGGTAGTTCTAATTTGTGATTTTTCCCACAAATGATTTTGATGCTTGATGTACAGCAGATATAATACTATTATATCTCATGAAATTCACATTTATCTGATACATTTGTGAAGTCATCCCTTCGTAAATTTTACGGACGCCATCACGAATTGGTTGACCGTTATGGAATAACCGTTTCACAGATGATATCGGATATGTTCCTTATGTCGTAACTACAATACCCTTCCCTTTTCACGAATGTGACTTACCGAATTAGACTATTTACCGGATTTGTAATAACATAAGCAACTCGACGGGTGCCACATGTGGAGCAGGATCTGCTTACCCTTCCGGAGCACCTGAGATCACCCCCAGTTTTTGGTGGGGTTCGTGTTGCTTAGTCTTTAGTTTTCTATGTTGTGTCATCTGTACTATTATTTGTCTGTTTGTCTTTTTATTTTTGGCCATGACGTTGTCAGTTTGTTTTCGATCTATGAGTTTGACTGTCCCTCTGGTATCTTTCGTCCCTCTTTTATAACCACTGGGTCGATGTCTCTGCTGGTGGACATTTTGTCCCCGAGGACATCATCCGCCCAGTAGCAAAATTGCATGAATTTACGAAGATCTAACAGGATACTGGCTCGGACGTCGCCCAGTATAAAAAGGTCCGAAACAGACGTCACCATGGACACGGTGTCGTCTGATAAGGCAGGTGTCCCCTCATCTCCAGACATGACAAATATCCCAAACATGACTC